GAATGCATGAAGGAGACTGTGCCTTTCATTACAATCTGCATGTAAATTGGTGTAAAGTAGCTCCAGATTAACAAAAGCAGGAACTTAAAGGAAAGCTTAATTCTAGTTTTAGAAGTAACTCAAATTAAGTAAAGACTGTGTTGACGTTCTAAACTGTAAGTGACTAGAGGTCTCAGTAATGTGACTTAGGTAGGGTTGAGTTGTAAAGTGCTGAAAATACCTTTAACCATAATTTGTTTTCTTGATTTCAGGGGATTACATTTAAGCGTGTAGGTGTTCCTTCTGCTACAGATGTTATTAAAGCTTCAAGTAATGATGCCAAAAGGTAAGTTTATTTGCCTGTTCTTAAAAGATGTCTAGAGATCTTAACCAACAGCAATTCTGTTGATGCAAAGCTTTAAGGGATCAGACCTGTACGTAAGCATGTCTTTGTCTATGCCGTAAAAGTCAGCTGGTCTGCATGTAGGCACTGACTTGTTTTCATAAGATAATATCAATAAACCTCTGTGTGCTTGAACATAGAGCTTTTCATAGAACATAATGTTCTCTAAGTTTTTGCAAGAAACACCCTAAACACCCTTTGTTTATATCATCAGAAATCAACAGCAGAACAGAAAATTACTGTCATGCAAGGAAACGGATTTTTTTCGCTCAGATGATATGGTAGCAGTGTGTAAAGGGCAACATGTAGCATAATCGGGAGTTACTCTGCAGTAGCAAGGGTGTTGTAGCCCTGTCCTGTGTTTCTTTGTATTGTTTTATTTTCAAGGGTTGTGTTTTTTATTCCATGCAGCTCTGTTTACATTTGCTGCCCCATTGGTGGATATTGCATTGACAGAGGTCATTTTAATTAGCAAGGATTTGACCAGTGTAAAGGAAATCATGGGCATGATGTTGGGTTCACGGCATACTGAAAAATGGTGGGAAGTGCTGGTTTACCAAAAACAGCGTTAGAGAAGTAGCTGTTCTGTTTCTCAGCTTGTTCTCACTGCCTGTCCCAGAAATAACCAATTTAATCAGCTTGCACTGAGACCAAGAAATGCCTTGCCCCAGCCCAGCAGTGGCATGGTAGTGGTTTGCTTCTGTTCATTGTGAAGTAAAAGTAAGGGATTCTTGGGCTTACTGGCAACACTTTCTTGTGGATTCTTGGGTACGGCTTTAAGAATGCACATTGTACATCCTCAGTTTTGAACACATCTTTCAAGAGGCTTGGCTTAATTAACAGAGAAGATGGGTATTCAGCATCGTGAAGGTGTTAAATAAGCGGTAGCGAAGCATGAACAGATAGCCAAGGCTTTTAGAGATAATTTGTTCATCTTGAAAGCTGTATGAAATCTGTGTCTTAAACATGACTGCACTTTACATATCTCTTAAACTTTTGTTGTCACCGTGTAGGTTGTTGGAGGCCATTCCTCCTTCTGCAATAGACTACTTCAGAAAATCTGCTCAAGAGCTCATAGACGAAAAAGGAGCAGTTGCTGCCCTGGCTGCAGCTCTAGCCCATATTTCTGGGGCATCTTACATACAGCAGCGCTCCTTACTCAACTCAACTGCGGTAAATAACATTATACCTGAGTTAACAAGAATGGATAAATGAATGGCTTACGTCCAGTCTAAGTGTGGCATCTTCTTCTCAGGCTTTTCAGTAGGGTTTCGGAATAGCTGCTATCCCCAGCTTCTGGTTTGTTGCTCTTTCCTTAACTGAAATCAGCTCTTACTGTCACTCTGCAGGAAACCAGAGACACTTGAAATCAGTTAGTAAATTTTCTTGTAATGACAGTTAAAAGAATCTCTCCAGAGATCTAAGTGACAGAAGACTTTGATGCTCTAAGAGAGTTTAACTAATGACATTTTAGAAGTTAGGTTGGTTTGTGCTACTGTAGTTTTTCCTTTCCCAGGAAGCTTTTACATCTCTGTAATATTTTAGTTAAGTCTAGGATGTGATTATCTGATTTCAAAGAGATCTCGACAGAAAAGTACAACCATTCCATTTTCTGATGCGTTTAGGGAGAACTTGGCCCTTGTTCATTGCGTGGTAACACAATTTTGGAAATAGCATGTGACTGGACTGTGCTTCTTCTATCAGTTTGGGGTGTGTTTCACCCGTTTTCTAGTGGTAACTTTATGTATTGAATGAAAGTGTCTCTGCTTCTGGCTAAAATACAGAAATGCTATTGGCCTTTATATCAATGGGCAATCCTAGGTTAGATGGATGCCTTCAGCTTCTTACGAAGCTTTTAGTTGCTTCATTTTTGGGAAGCTGATTTCCTAGGATTAAATACTACATTACAATAACAAGTTATTGCGTAGTTCATTAGTTAGTGAGTTACAGGCTGTCCAACCAAGTTTAGTCTTGTAAATGTTTTTCTCTGTTTCCTGAAGGGCTTTGTGACCATGGTGTTAAAGTGCTCAATAGAAATGCGTACTATGAGCTATGCCTGGCGAGGACTAAAAGAACAGCTTGGTGAGGAAGTAGATGCCAAAGTATCAGCAATGCGTTTCCTCAAGGGGAAGACGGTAAGAAGGCCCAACCTTGGGGAAGGAGGGGGTTTTGTGTGTATGTGTGTGTGTGTGTACACATACATCCAGTTTTTGCAGTGATTGAGGTAAGAGTTGTGAAGTACCAGCATAGAAATGTTGATACCTCACTATCCCTACTCAATCTTATTTCTCAGAAAATGGCAACCTATCATGAGCCCCCCTGAAACTGCTCTTTATGGATACACTATTTAAAAAAAACCCAACAAAACAAAACAAAAACCAAACAAAAAAAACAACACTGAAGCTAGTTGAGTGTTTTACAAGACACTTATTTGAATGGAGACATTGCTCCTTAATGATAATGTTGGAATCCTCTTCTAAAAAAAAAAAAAAAAGAGCATCAGAAATATTTATGTAGTGGGAGTGGTTGTTGTGACTTCTATTTTTTCATTGTAAATTCCTGCTAACACTGTATACCACTGCATTGAAAAGGCAGCTGTAGAGTAGGGCAGCGAATGACTGCCTGACCTGAGCAGCGCAGCATTCACCTGTCAGCCTGGCTCCTGACGTCTCTGCTGCTTGTCTCCTGTGCAAGTGTGCTCTTGGCGAGCTTGTAGTGCCAGATGATGCCCGTCTTACTTTTAAACAGACAGGCTGATTGCAGGCAACGCTGCTGTCAGCATAGAGCATTTGAATCTGCATTTTTGGTTTGAGTTCTTCTGTTTTAACTGCTTTTTTCTTCAGTTTATAAAAAACTTCCATGCTTTTTGCCATTTCTGGTTTCTACACAGTGTGTACGAGCAGTTGCAGGTGCTGCCTGTCTGGAGTTGTGTGTCTCTGTTCTTGGATATGTCTTTGGAAAGCAAATGCCTCTTTAATTTTGATTTTTTTTTTTTTTCTTTTCCTGTTATAGGGGGTGTGCTTTGATATCCCTGTTGATGAACTGAGTAACATACAGGTATGTTTTTGTAGCCAGAATTGGCTTTGGAACCTGGTGATTTTGAAATTTGGTGATTGCCACTTGACTATAGAGGATGGTTTGAGGGGGATAAGCTTTATGTTTTAAGGAGGATGTTGCATAGACAACAGAGACATTAGAAAGAGCACAGCACAGTCATTAGAAAATACCTTGTCACCCCTCTGACATTTCAGTTCTCGTTGTATTACCTGACTTTTTTTATTACACAAAATCCTATGTTCTTTGGCTGCTCTGGGTTTTGACCTCTCCAGCATATTTGAGAGTTAACCAGTTTTCTGTTGACTTCACTCCCTCTTGTCCCTTTGTGGTCATTTATCCTTTGTCAGGGGACCATAAGTTGTCTCCCAAGAGGGATCTGCTGACTTACTTTGGCGCGGGTAGGACTTCTCTGGAAGCGCCTTTAGGCATTCAATGTTGCTTTTAATGATACACACTTCTGCAGGCACATAAAGTCTCGTTACATTGGTCTTGTTTCAGGAGCAGTGGAGGGACACCAGGCGCTGGCAACTGTCGGTGGCAAAGGAGTTGCCTGAGCTGGAAGAGTACCCCCAGGAGGTGGGACGAGGGTTCTCCAGGTTCGGAAACGGGAGGCAAGGTGACAGCGGCTTCAAGAGAAACAGATGGTTTAAGAACGGAAATCAGGAACATGATTTTAACAAGTCACTTGATTAGTTTCTGGTACAGATACGGGACTGCACTGATTTTTAACTAAAAGTAAAAGCCTGTTAGACATTCCTCTTTGTCTTTATTCCTTGATAAAGCAGCCTGTCTTTGAGGATTGCTGAAGCGACTGAGTTTTTTGGAAGATTTTTCTTTTTGCCCGGGAAACCAGCTGCTGTCATTTTCCCACCGTTAAACTGACCACCACACGCATCTAGAAGAGTGAGTGTTTCACTGGAAACTCAAGGCTGTGGGGGACCAGTGTACTTCCAAACATGCACAGTTACCGCATCGTGCCCGTTCAGCAGCCCTTGTATTAAAAAATCTGGTTCTCAAAAAAAATTTTTCCTCAGAAAAATTTGAGATCAAGTCCCCTCAGCACCCTTCCTTGAGAGCATCCCACGGCCCCAGGGGCTCCGGTGGTGTGCTCCTGCTTGCCTGTCGCCGTCTGATCATTGGTACTCTTTGGTCTCAACCCCGTCACGGAGTTTGTGGGGGGAAAACCGGTCAGAATCGGTCACAGCAGGAGAGGGGAGCGTGGGAGGCCACCGGCAGAGCGCGCCCCGCGCTG